TGTGTGTGGGGTGGGGGTGGGGGGGTAACAGCTGGGGCTGGGTGTTTAATAGCCTAAAGGTGGAGGCCTCCCTACCACCTGCTGCCATTAGACTGCAGGCAGCCCTGTGGCTAAGGCTGGGATTCTGCCAGGGGGTGGGCAGGACTTGGGCCCTAGACCTGTCTCCTGGGCTTGGGACTCCCCCAACAATGGACCTACAATTTGGGGGAGGGGGCCGATATGGGACAGGACCCCCCCCCCAAGAAGATGGCAATGCTTCGTACTTTAGTGGAGGGGAGGCGCTGCACAAGATCCCACCCCAACACTCAAGATGAGGGACCCTAGTCCCACCCAGTGGGGACCCCTGAGAAGGGGCGCCCTCTGTGTGGCCCCCGCCTGCCCCCATGCTCCCAAAGGCTCCTATCTGGGCTGCAGCCTGGGCCCCCGCGATTAGCCCCCTCAAGCAGAGAGCAAACCCAACCCGGACCTTGCCCCACCCCGCTCTGTGCCTTCGTTTCCGGTTCTTCCAAATGGGGACATTCAGAACCTCCACTACCTAGAGGTGTGAGCGCTGAACCTTGCCTTGGGCAAATGGCCAGGAACCCGAGCGCTCAGAATATGGAAATTATGAAATGATTACTAAAGCCAGGCTCTCGTATTCTCCTCTTAGGTGAGTTGTCAGGCTCTCAGAGGGCGGTGACCGTCGGTGGTAGGGATCGTCTCGATTTGGCGAGCAGTTCCTACACCCGCCTCGGCCCCGGGACGCGTGGCCCCACCCACTCGTTTGACCCACCGAGAGACGTCCCCCGGTCCGGCCCCGGCTCCGCCCCGCTCTCATTTCTGGTTACCGTAGCCCTTTGCTGCTTCGGGACTCTAATCCCCATTTTACAGACGTGAAAACCGTGGCTCGGCTCGGGGCAGGTGGCCAGGTCGCTCGCGCCGGGTCTCTCGAGTCTAAGAGACAGAGGTGCAGCGTCGAGCCTGGCGGGTCCGTCCCAGGTGCTCGGTAAGATGGGGAGGAGGGCCCCGACCCGGCTCGGGTCGCCCCAGCCT